GGTCTAATGAATTGAGATTTCCCTATTAATTCTCCGACCCCTTTTTAAGCCCACCTACTCGTCCCTTTTTTCCTTAGGTAAGGGTTGTTTTGAAAAATTAATTAAAATTTTTTTTTTTTTAATCTTTTTAAAAAAAGTTATAAATGTGAGAGATAATATGAGTAAAAAATAACCCTAAGTTGCTTGCTCGTCTGTTTGGGTGAGTTCAAACCAAAGCATTAGGAGAGAGTTCGACCGCTTGCTTAATTTAATGGGGTTATTACCTCCAAGTGGTGTATAAAAAAATTAATATAAACTTATGAAAAAAATTAAAAATTTAATTATTAATATTCATAAAATTTCTTATTAATTTGTAATTATTTTTTCAATACTCCATTGATGTGATATTTTCTTTAATTTAATTATAAGAGTAAAATATAAATACACATTTTCAGATTTATTTAAAATACAAATTGTTTCATATGATTCGAAAAATTATAAATACTCTCTTGTCATAATTTTTTATTTAACAGAATTAATTAAAAAAATAAAATTCATAACTACTCCCTCATACAATAATAAAATTATTTGAATTATTAATTAAAATATATTTCTGATATCATTAAAAATTGTTAATTGATTTGATGATTTATTAATAACATGACTATTGATTATGAAATTAGAAATTCAAAAAGTAAAATATAATTTGTAAAATCATAGATGATAATTAGTATTTAAAAAAAAAATCATAAGATATATCTATAGTTTACCCTGATTATAATAATAGCAGATATATAATATTCTATATCAATCTATAAACAATAAGAATATATAAATAAATAAAATCAATTTTTAATCCAATTGTTCATTCATGGGAAAGGCGGGAAGAAGCAGAGAGAGCTATTATGGTGCCCACGTGTGAACCGTAGGCAAGTTATATTATTTGTGATTTTGATTATTACAAATAGTATAATTAAAGTCATAATTAAAAAATAAATAAATTAAGATCTCATTTATTTGGCTCTGGTGTGATTTGGGAAGTGGGATAGTTTTTTAATTTTTTTGACTATTTTAATCTGGAATTAAAAAGTCTGATTTGAAAAAGATTTTTGATTTTTTTGGTTTTGGATTTTTTTGGGTTCATAGGAGTGGACTAATAACCCCACCGCTCCCATGGCTGTGCAAATCTCACTATGGAAAGGGATTGATAGTCCTATTTCTAAGAAGACAGTTAAAAAAGGTTTGTTGGGCATTTTAGTCAATGCAATTTTAATTTTGGACTCTAATGGATTGGCTATTGGGTTAGTTATTTTACCATCCTACCTTTTTGCTAGCTACAATTAAAGAGCCATATAAGCTCTTCAAACAAATATGTATGTATATGTTTTGAATTTTTGTATATTTATGTCTTGAAATTGGGATTTTATATATTGTATATATGTATATGTGTATGTAACAATTTTATATGTTCTTTCAATTATGTTTGGTGAATTATAGAATAACTTATTTTATATTTTGTATTTTTTTTTCTCCTTATTCTACAAGCTTTGTATGCTTGTATGGGCAAATTTATTATTATTGCAAATTTACATTAGTAAAATATCAACGGTTAGTATTTTTTGTTTTAAAAATTAATTAAGTTAGTTTGACTGATTAGTTAAAATAAAGAGTGTGGTTTGAGAACACAATTGTGAAGCCCCTGAATAATGTTTTATCTTTAAAAACCCTAATGTTTAAATTATTTTCTTAAAGCTCTTAGTTACTTGAATTATTTCGAATCTTGTCTGTTAGCATTTTTTTTTATCAAAACCAGAATATCCTAGTTGGATTAGGTTCCGTAGCCTAATTTAATTAAATTCTACATCCAATACATGAATTTAACCTCAAGCCCTCACTTCTTTATTTAAATTCAAAAAATTTCCAAAACTAGTACATGTACCTTATACTATAAGTACCATCAATTAATTGAGATCTATATAAATATAATTCATTGAACTTCCTAAGGTTAAGCTCCCTAATCACTCCGAATTCATTGAACTTCCCAAGGTTAAGCTCCCTAAGCACTCCTAATTCATTGAACTCCAAGTAAATTCTAGCTTGTCCATTCAATTTCAACTAGTGGGCTTCTATGTCATTTTACACCAAAATTGCCTATAAATATCACCACTCCCTAGCTTGGCAAACACAAGCATCACACTTACACACACACTTTCGGCTAGAGGGGGGGAAGGAGAACAAGAGAGAAGTCTTGAGAAGAAGAGGAAGGGAGAAGAGAGCCATTTTGTTCAAAGCTTAGCAAGTAAGCCACAACACAACCTTCTCTTTCATTTTCCTTTTTCAAATACATGTTCTTAAGGGTTCTAAATATTGTTTTCAAATGTGTCATTGATATATGCTAGTTAGCATGTTTTCATCATAAAAGAGACGAAAATTTTCCTTAGTGGATCCCTTTTGTCACAAATCTTCTTGTTTTGGGTATTGTGCCTTAAAATCTGTTTTCACAGCCAACTTTCTAAGTTTCTAGAAAAATGTAGAAAATTATTCTGGACCTCTATTTTATGTCAAAATCTTCCTTAAGGAGTTAGCTTTCAACTAAAATTTGTTTCATTGAAAAACAGTGAGCAATTTGCAAAAAAATCAAATTTTCGTAACGGTCAACGAATTTGGACAGCACTGGAGTGTTTTCTAAATAACTTAAAATCTAGAAAAACTATCCCATTTTCGAATTATGTTCTGAAAACTAGATTAAATTCTCTATCCCATTTTCGAAATATGTTCTGGAAACTAGATTAAATTCTCCACAAACCATAGGGAGGCCGAGTCCGGTAAAAATTCTAAAATAGCCCTTTTCATTCTAATCCTTATGTGATATTGAATCTGGAAATTCTGTTGTGCATGAATGTTTTATCCTCTAGTAGTCATGATGATGCTTATTAGCTTATGATCATATCTTGGCATGATATTATATGTGTTATGGTTATATTCTTTATCTTCTTCATCTTAATGATGTATGCTTTTGTGGATATTATTATCTTATTAAGTTGGTCTAACCTTGTTTTAAAACATTTAACTTAACGTGAAACTTAATTGGGATGATATTGGGTTTTCGATCACTTGAGTAATGATGATAATGTGTGATGTGTGGACTGTTGGGATGCGTTCCTTTCTTGGAAGTTAAAGTCTTGTGCAAGTGGTTTTTGGAACCCTTGAACGGAGCGGTTGTATTCGGACCCTAGGTGGTTTGGTGTGAGGAGGGCTTTGGGTAAGGCCCATTATTACCGTCTCTTTTGAGGCCCTACGGTTGGCGCTACGCGGTATATAACCGATGGTAGGCATCCGATGTTAGTTCTGCAACAAAGCAGCAAAAGAGGGGGCATACCGAATAATCCGCGTCCGATTCTTGTGGTTGGGAGGACGAAATCTCTTGGGGGGATTTCTAGTTTACTAACATCTAACTTGTAACCCTTTGCTTATCTATTTTGAGTATCATGCTTCACTACTTGTTGTTATATTTGAGATTGTGTATTGGACTAGAAAAAAAGAACGGGGTGTGTGTGTGTTTACTGGGCATTCAAAGTTCACGGCGTATCATGCCAAGTGACGAATAGGAACTTATAGCTGGAGACGAAGAGCCTGAAACCTTCGAAGACTTTTGGCTATCTTAGTAAAGTTAGAAATTTCCTTTTGTTGTTTTGTAAGACTCATGTGAAGATTTAAATTCTCTTAGGATGTAATGTAACGGAACAAGTTTTTGAATTAAGGATATTCGTGGTTGTTATGTATTTATATTCTTCGTATATGTTTGAACCTTATCGTTGCTTATGAGACCTTGTGTCAATGCCTTTTAAGATCTGTCAAAAGGGTAATGCGCTGCCTAAGAAAGCCGGACTTAGAAGGGAGGCTAATTTGACTCTTTCGGCGAACTGGAATCTTACTTGGTTATTGACCATAGGACTCATTAGTGACTCTCCTTGACTGCAACCAATAGTGTAGATTCGGGGCGTCACAACAATAGCTAAAGTAATTAAAGGGTTGTTTGAGATGTCATAAATAAGTGCACTTTTTGTCTTTTTTGATTAAAAAGTTGAGGAAAAAATATGGATGTTTAGGCTAATTTTTTGACTTTTTTATGAAAAATGTGTATTAAAAAATTGTATAAATAAGTGTATAGGGGAATAAAGTGATGGAATAGGCCGTACGGTTGGAAGCCTTAAGGGCAGCGTGACAAAGGGTAGTGTAAGAGATTGATTCTCTACTTTTCGGGCATAAAATTGGTCGGTTCTGTTCGGCCCATGGGGGCCTGCCGCGGGTCCCGTTTTACTAATCGGAATCGTTCAATGTGTAGAACTCATCGAGTACTATATGTTTGTAAAAAATCACGCTAATTGGATATCTATAGTTATCTGATCGTGTTAGTTTTTTTTTGTTAACAGTTAACTATAACACCATCTATTTTTATACAAAACTGATTTGATTATGTATTTAGCGATATCCGATAGACGTGATTTTTTACAAGCATAAAGAGTGTACTTTTTTCATACTTTAACTAGTAAAAAGTAAAGAATGTGATTGGAGTTAAGATTGGCAATCCCATGTCATTTACCTGCAAATAAACATGGCATAGGTAGAATTCACGAATTACCAATCCAATCACATTCCCTAAACCTCCAAGCAAACTTGGCTTAAATTATAATCACTTATGGTATGGGCTTTAATTAAATAATTTTTAAATCATAACTAAATTACTATTATATTTAATATACCAAATTATTATAACTAAGAACATAATAAATTATCATAATTAAGAACAGAAAAATCATAATTAAAAGTGAATATACACACCCTAGACGGGTGTCTGGTTTGTGTAGTGGAGTTTATTATTTTTTAGAATAGAAATATTGGAGTATGAAATTGAAATCTAAAATGCAGTTTAGATTTGTTTATTTGATCTTCGTAAGCATTTGAATTAGACTAGTAATGTAAATATTTGTTTGGTATAATAAAATATGTAAGTTTGGCAGTGAATGCTTTGAATACCATATTCGGAGAATGGGGTTTATCGGCATCGAATCAATGGAATATAAGCGGAGAACCATGCAGCGGAGCAGCCATAGACTTAACAAGCATCGAGTCCACGAATGGCAATTACAATCCCGGGATCAAATGCGATTGCGATGGGACTACTTGCCACATTACCCGTCTGTAAGTAGCAAACACTACCACCATCACTTTTCACCACACACCCCTATCTATCTATCCTTCTATCTATCTATCTATCTATCTGTTTCACATGCCTTCCAAATGGGGATTAGATTACCTCAAAAGAAAGCTCTGTAAATTTGTCCGACAGGGTTTTTATAGAATGTTGGAGAAATGCATGTGTGCACTCCCAAAAAGAGGCAAATTCTTATTATTTTTTAGGATAAATTAGGCTCGGCCTCTATTATGCTTTTATGTTTGGTCACTTTTTCATGTAAAGTTTATTTTTTTTCTAATTTATTCCTAAACTAAAGTGTGTATAAAATTAGACAAAAAAATACCACAATAACTATCACATAATATAAAAAAATATATTTTTATATTAGAATTTAAGTTTATGTCAATGATGTGAATCATATATAATAAAATATTTTTATGTCACATGATTGTGATATGTTTTGTCTAATTTTTAACATAAATTAGTTTTAGGATTAAAGTGGGAAAAATTTGAAAAAAAATAGACTTTAAGGGTGAAAGTGGCCAAACATATAAAGGGCAAAGTGTAATTTACTTTTTTTTTTTTAGAGAAATTCTACCTACGCTACAATTTTATCTCTTTACACTTATTTTCTCATTACACCTTTGCGAAATAATTGAATTTTTATTACGCCCTTTATAATACTAAAACTAACCCTAAATTAAACACTTTTCAAGCCCTTACAAAATTTTCTTATTGCATCTATTCCTTTTGAATTACTCCAGTGTTATGTTACCGAACAAACTATATTTGTCCAGCCCCATCTATTATCATTATTTTTTTTCTAAATTTACGACGGGCATGTTCGGTTATACATTGCCAAAAAATTTGGATTATTTCGATGTCATATTGTCGAACAAACTAGATTTGTTCAGCCATCTGTTGCCGCACGTTTACAGATTCATTTTCCTTAAACATTAAGAATCTATAAAAACATGAAATGTGCATACATCCATAAAAATATTCATAAAATTCATCAATACAAATATCTTTAAATTTATGAATACAAACATCTATAAAAACATACTACTATGTTATCACAATCCATCTATGTTAATAGTTTTGGTAGTTATTACATCAGGATTGACAAGCGTACGGAATTGATCAATACGGGTAGTATATGTTTTCTCTCATCCATTAGTACACAAGTAATGAAAATGAATCAAATTACTTGCTTTTGGAAGTATTGGATGACTAGGACGCAGATAAATCTAACAAATCTCGCATGTAATGAATTCATAACGGTAGTCCATTAAAAATGTACTACTAGCCTTACTACAATAAATAGAAGCATAATCCTTTAAAGCAAAAAAAATAAAAATGTTAGAAAAATAAAACTGAAAATGTTTAGTGGTGAGTTAGTGAGTTACTGGACATGTACTTTTATTAAGCAGTAGGTTACTAAACTAATATTTTTTGTTCGGCAGTGGATTATTGGATATATATATTTTTTGTTCAGCAGTGTAATTCCGGACTATTTGATTTTGTTCGATTTTGGTACACCGAATAAAAGTCAAACATCCCTCTTAAAAAACAAAATGAAAACATAAAAAACAAAGAAAAAAAACTCACAATTTTACTTTTTTGCTAGTCCTTCATCACCATTTATTCGTCCAGTACTTTACTTTATGATCAAAACACTATGATTCTCACTTTTTGAAAGTAGATGTACGGTAGAGAAGAAGAAATGAGAAAGGAAGAAAAAAAGTAGGGATTGAAGTGTAATGGGTGTAAAGAAATAATCAAATCTATTTAATTTTGAACTTTTGTTCTTAAAGGTAATTTCACACGAGTAAAATTGGAAAAAAAAAAGTTCTCAAATGGAGGTTGTAAAGAGATAAATGTGTTGTGTAACTAAAATTTCCTTATTTATTTATTTATTATGGTTTAAGTTACACGAATGTTTGTGGTATGTTATGTCATTCCAATAAAGTTACTGACTACTACTGAATTTATGGTGTGCATCTTCAAGTGATAGTTATGAATGATTTTGTGGTTATGTTAGTATAATAGTAATCTTGTGGTGTTGTTACGAACTAAGAAATGTGACTAATCATTTTAGTTTTGTGTGAGTTTTTTTTCGTTTGTTACAGGAAAGTCTATGCATTGGATGTTGTTGGTGTAATCCCAGAGGAGTTATGGACTTTGACTTTCCTCATCAATTTGTATGGTTCATTGATATTTGATTTAATTAATAAACTTGCCCTTTTCCTTCTTCCGTTTTATTCTCTCCATGTAAACCACCATCAAATTGCAACCTTTGAAATTATGATTCAGAATCTCACCTTATTGAAATATGTGCTGTGCATGATTGGGTAGTTTTCCTTTATAGGCCCTCTAATTTTTTCAGTCATTGATGATGCTAAGTTCCTTTCATAATATTGCAGGGACTTGCGCCAAAATTACCTGACAGGTAGCTTGTCTGCATCCATTGGCAACCTATCTCGGGTGCAGTACCTGTGAGCCACCTTATTTTTTATTAAAATTTTGCTGGTTGCTAATATTTTATCCATGTGTAGATACACTCCTTTAATGTTTTGGCACCTCATTTAAATGTTGTTAGGACCGTGGGTATTAATGCATTATCGGGGGAGCTTCCAAAGGAACTGGGAAAACTTACTGATTTGAGATCACTGTATGTTATTTAATTTTTGTACCTTTTTAAGAGGCAACTTAATGCCAATGCATAGGCATATATGCAAATATGTACATGTATGTTCGTGCCAACAAATATTCTCTAAATAATATATATTTTTTATTCTTTGTAATCTGTCTTTCGCTATAATGGGTACTCTGGACCTCATTCAAGACATACCTCTTTTGTGCATACCATTCAAATGTTGCCTTATTTGAATTATTTTGATGTTGTTGACTTGCTACTTTACCAGGGCCTTTGGTACAAATAACTTCTCTGGCGCTCTACCATTAGAGCTTGGGAATTTAACAAAATTAGAGCAACTGTAAGTGCTGAGACATTTGCTCACTTTTTCATTTTGTTATCCTGAAAAATGCTGCTTCTCTTAGAATTGGGAAATGGTGCAAGAATGCCACTTCCATACTATTGTGCACTAGATTCTAGTAGCAAAGAATTCTTGTGTTACTGCAGTTGTGCTGTATATTGAAGATATCCCTAATTTGCTCACTGCTTAGATGAGGAAGCTAACCAAATACTTTTCCCTCGACTTTTCACTTCTTCCCTCGTAAGACAGTCCCTTCCGTTGACTTTAATCAGAAGAGAATTCCTGCGGAAGCATAGGGAAGTCTTCTACTCTCTTCTCTAATCTTACATTGGTAAGTGTTAAAATCCACCTACTCTCCACCTACTTCACCCACTTAAACCTACTCCACTAAACCTAACCCACTACACCACTACCACCTCACCTACTCCACTAAACCTAACCCACTACACCACTACCACCTCCACTTCACCTACTCCTTACCTACTACACACTCACCCTCTTCTATATATAGTAAGTCCAAAGGAAGACTGCAACTTGTTTGTGAGTGAGAGCAGAGACAAACTGAGCCAACCAACCAATGCTAACCCATAAAGAATTGTTAAAATAATAAAACAGGCCCACACATTGAATACAGAACTATGCTAATGCCCCTTGTTGTATCGCACAGGTAAGGTGCACCAGACTCGTACAACCTTAATTATCACGATCTATAAACCAGTGTCATCCAGTCTAGTCTGAAATAAACATTTCATCCATCTGGCTGTTTAATGAGCTATGCTAGTCCACATCACATAAAAATTCTAAGACACATACTGGAGAGCCTAGATTTCTGGGCATAACTAAGCAGTAAGCACGATCCTTTTTTATAAGAAATGTCAGTCACTAGATATAAAGATCTGTTATATGTATCATGTACCTTTCTACTGATTAGCTGATTGCTTGCAACCCATCTCATGAGTTGTCACCTCGGGATTTACCATCAACGAACAAAATTTAAATTTAACTCTGGTGTTGAGGACAAAAAAGTGTCGCATTTGTTTCTTGAACATTATCCACCTTGACAGTTACTTTGTTAGCTCTGGAGTTAGTGGTGCTATACCTTCAACGTTTGCTGCTCTACAAAATCTGCAGACAGTGTAAGAGCTTTCTGAACTATCCTTTTTGCATATCTGAGAAACTAAAATATTGTGTTCGGATTAATTGTTTTTGTTATCAATTTTACTGAGGAAGAATTTTGGGGATCTCAGGTGGGCTTCAGACACTGAACTCACTGGTAGCATACCTGAATTCATTGGGAATTGGTCAAAGCTTAAAAGCTTGTAAGCAATCTTCTATGTTGTGTTTTCTTTATTTTGACAATCACACTCAAATTATAGCTTTACTCTAAAATAGCAATGTGTAGTAACTGAGATGTATAACACTCTTCAGCAATCCACTTCATTTTTCTTTTTTTCTTTTTTTCTTTTTTTTTTTTGTAGGAGATTTCAGGGAAACTCCTTTGGAGGTCCAATACCAACAACATTTTCCAACTTAACCTTGATGGAGGACTTGTGAGCATTAACTCTTTCAACAGCTTTTGTTCATATTTAGAATATCAATAAAGCTAATCTTCTCTTTTATAATATACCCATGCTTATCTAGGAGAATAAGTGATTTATCTGATGGAAGTTCTTCATTGGCGTTTCTTAAGGATATGAAGTCTTTGAATCTCTTGTAAGGCGATATGGTTATTGCTGGCAAATCTATTCTGTTTTAATTTTTCATTTTCATGCTCCTTAATATTGCTCTTTTACAAAACTAATATAACCATGTGGTTTCATGTCTTGCAGAATTCTGAGGAATAACAATATTTCTGGTTCTATCCCATCCAATATTGGAGATTATCAAGGATTGTTACAACTGTAAGTTATTGCTATTAATTTCAGGTCAGCTCCCTTATACTTCAACCTGAAATTTGGCCAGTTCAGAGTCCGATGGGGGAAGATGGGGTCAAAACCAGACAGCCAACTCTATGAAGCAAATATTTTTAATGTATTTACATTATTATATAATGAATTTACTTGACCATGGTTTATATAATTTTTCAGGGATTTGAGCTTCAACAAATTAACTGGACAGATTCCTGATTCGCTGTTCAATTTGAGCTCTCTCTCTTATTTGTAATAAACATCTTGTGCTGTATTATTTTAGAATCTTTCCAACAAATACTGTTTATTGCTTGAACTAATTTCTTTATGCCCAGGTTTCTTGGGAATAATAAATTAACTGGTACCCTTCCTGCACAAAAGAGTACATCTCTGCTGAATATGTAAGTAAATCTTACGTAACAACCCACAGTCTAATTAGAATGCAAGTGCTGTTATCGAAAAACTATATGTAAGTTGAGAAGTTCTTTCGTTTTCTGGCACATAATGATTATCAAAAATGGTTTTCTTTTCCCAAATATGAAGGTTATATAATTTCTGAAGCATAATGTACCTTCGAACAGGTCTATGATGCAGCACAGATTTAATCCGTTTTGCCATAAGTATTCTTGACAGCAGCATATTTGTCACACAACCCTGCTACCGCATGCTAGAAAATCATGTATTAAGCAAGACAAAGATCCAAGTATACATGTATGTGTAAATGTAAATGTAGAGATGTATACAAAAATAGCCAACATTAGGGAACACACTAGGGGAGGTAAATATTAAATATTTGGACATACACTAGATTTCTGTTTGCATCTTCATCTGCCTGTGATGATTCTTTTCTTCTTTTTTTTCTTTTTTTTAATTTTATTTATTTATTTTTTCTTTGACGGACAATTTCATACACTAAAATCAGGATCCTAGCATTTTTTTCAGATGATCTTTTCTTGGATGCACATCATTTTTTGGTTTGATTCAAAGGGTATATATTTATTACCGATAACCATGTCCTATTAATGCCTCTATTTGATAGAAAAGTGGCAGTGAAAATGTCGTGTTATATAACCATAAACTTCTACCTACAAAATACGAATTTAATTTTATTTATTTATTTATTTATTATTTTTTTGAAAAATCAGGCAGTACTTGATTCTGTGAATAGGCAGAAAGTATATGGAAGTCATGTTATGTTAAAGTTGATATGAAACACAACCCTTGGTAAGCCATGTAACATGTGAAGGTTTAGTGTGACCCACAGAAGTTTACGAGAATCATTATGGATTCACTACTTTCCAATTTCAAGATCATAATGTACAATTTCTTTAAACATTAACGAGATACAATTAGGAATGTAAATAACTCTATTTATTGCTTAGAAACTTTTTTATGTTAATAGTATGCTGCTATTGTGTTTGGGGAGACATGGAGAAACAATTAATGAGTCTATGTATTTGAACAAAGTTGTTTTGGAAACTGGCATGTAGTGATACATGCAATCATGGGAGTATGTAAGGCTATTGACTAAATCCATAACTTCAGTGCCTAAATTTAAGACTAACCAAGTTATCAGGCATCAGTAGGATGGAACATCGACTGAACATTCCCATTATGTTTTTGCCTGCAGAGATTTGTCATACAACGAATTATCTGGGAGCTTTCCTTCTTGGATCAACCAACAAGACTTACAATTGTATGTAAAAATAAATAAATAAATAAAAATTGGTCCTTCTCTCTGCTTTTATTTTCAGATTTTGTGGTTTACCATCCTGGCATCCTGTAATAGTTTTGAGTGCATAACATTTGTTATGATTGCATTTTGTACCTCATCGTATCTTCTGCATTGGTTTTATACCATTGAAACTAACAAGAAGATTTTTTGGGATGTAATATGCAGTAATTTAGTTGCCAATAACTTCACAATAGAAGGTTCGAACAACAGGTGATTCTCTCCCGGCTGTATCTTTTTAACGTTATTCAGTAGCCTTTGAACATTCAATGTTGCTAAAGGAAATTTCAGTTATTTTCTATTATATTGTTTAGTGTTTAACACTATAAGCTGGTAACCAGCACCTTTATTGGCGGTGAAACATGCATGTGCTTAATCCTGCTTAGATTCACCAGATATAACACCTTTATAATCAATTTGCATTCTTTGTCTGCTTTTAGTGTTCTGCCTTCAGGATTGAGCTGTCTTCAAAGGAACTTTCCCTGCAATCGTAATGTTCCTGTCTGTAAGTGCCTTCATGACCTTCTTTTGTGTGTGTGTGTGTGTGTGAGAGAGAGAGAGAGAGAGAGAGAATCAGTAGGAATATGGGAGTCGAACTCAAGCCGCACCAATGGATATAGTAATACTATTAATTAGATGTCATTCTGTTGAACGTCTATCAGCATTTTAAGTGAGGTAATGCATAATTGAACCCATTAAAATGCGTTGAACCCATATAATCAAGGTTTTGAAAAACGGTTGTGGTCGCCATAACTGTTGCAGTGATGCGGTAGCGGTTGCTAGGTGTAAAGGCCGTAGTGTAACGGTTGTGGTAACCTGAATCGTGATTTTTCTTATTTTCCACACTTTGAAGAAAACTTATCGATACGCATATTTTTTTTTTTTTTAGAATCACATTTATCGGGATTTAAAATAAATTTCAATCAATTTTTGTTAATTTTTAAGTATGATCGGATATATTTCATATTTTCAAATCACTATAAAATGAACTTTTTACATTTTATTTCAATAGTTAATGATTTTAAGAATAATTAATTTTAAATATCTACAAATTATTTTTTACCAATACCTGATAATTGAATAAAAAATATTCACAATTATTAAATGAAAGGATTATAAAATAAAAATTGTGCCATAAATTTAAAAAAAAAATTACAAAGAAAAAAAATTCATATAAGACTTTTTCTTTAGGCTTGGATCACTTGAGTATTTGTTAAACTTTCGTTTTTTTGGGGGGAAAAGGAAACTATTCAGAATATTGTAAAAAGGTGTAACGGTGTCTAACGGACTGTTTATGTTACACCGAAACGGCCGTTACACATGCGAATCTCCGTCACACCGCCATAGCGGTCGTAACGGGTGGTGGTAACCACTACAATCGTTACATAATGGCCTTACGTTATGGTTGCGACCACTTTTTAAATCCTTGCATATAATGCATATAAATAAGGAGTTATGCATGGCTGATTTTGATTTTTGTTAATTAAAAGCACATTTTCAAGCCCAAATCTGACGAATTCCTCTTTCCCATTGGCTTACAGATTCCAACTTTGCAGTCAAGTGTGGTGGTCCACAGATTGCTTCTAGTAATCAGATTATATATGAGAGGGATAATGAGACTCTGGGTCCTGCTACATACTATGTGACTAGCACAAACAGGTGGGCAGTTAGTAATGTTGGACGCTTTGGTGAGAACAACAATGCCCATTATACAAGTTTCTCTTCATCTCAGTTCACAAATACTTTGGACTCAGAGCTGTTCCAAACAGCACGAATATCTGCTGGATCACTAAGATACTATGGGTTGGGGCTTCAGAATGGTAACTATACTGTGAATCTACAATTTGTAGAGCTAACCATCGGGAAGCCTCCAACTTGGAAAAGTCTTGGAAGGCGTGTTTTTGATATATATATCCAGGTCTGTGCTGAGTTGTGGAATTGGATTAGCAATTGTGTTTTCCCTGTCCTCTTTTTGACTGAACTTTTTGTTATCAGCTCTCGTTATATATGTGTGGATGTCTAGATGAGGGGTATGTAATAAAAAACGGTGGTGCTACATGCACCAATTAGTGTACTAACTAATGTACCAACACTAATTATGACATTATTATTGACCTTACTCATTAATCACATTACAAATAGCAAAAACTTCTTAAATTATGCCACATCATCAATTGGTATACTAGTTAGTACACTAATTGGTACATATAGCATTATTCAATAAAAAAAGGTAGGTAGTTGGAATGATGAAAGGGTTTCACATCCATTTTCCATGTCATCATGTGAAAACTTTTTTCATACCAAATAAGAGATGGTTTAACATGGAATATGTACTACTGCAGTATTCTGTTTTATTAAGTAGTATACTTCAGGTATCTTCAAAATTTGCATATTCTATCCAACGTTTTAAGCTAAACTGGTTTCCATTTTGTTGTTAACAATTAGACTTAATGATTTATGTGGGCACATACCATCAAGATTAACAAAATCCTTGTTTTTTTTTTTCTTTTCTTTTTTTATTCTTTTTCTAAAGGTCATAAATGTCTTGAAGTCTTTTAAACATTTATTCGACTGCATATGCACATTGAATTAATTTCATATGACTATCGTGATGTTATATTAGATATTTTTTCGAGTATATGTTTCATTTTCATTAATCACCGTCTAGTATTTCAGGCCAATATTATTTGTTATTTTGTGATCATTAGTAGAACAGTTTCTCCAGATTCCCATCTCATAATGTATATGTCACACCACTCTAAGTTTGTTATCAGAGCAACTCCAAGGCTGCTAGGCACAATGTCTTCTAAAAGTACAATATTTATTTTTCCCAACTAGTTTAGCTGGTGTGCACTTCAAATCTTCTAAAAGTACAATATTTATTTTTCCCAACTAGTTTAGCTGGTGTGCACTTCAAACCATACTCTTTATTTTAACTAATCAATTGAACTAATTTATCTAATTTTTAAAAGAAAAATACTATAAACATAAATAAAAATATATAAACTTTTTATGATACGCTGTTAATGCAGCTAATGTTGACGTGATATTTGCAAATATTTATTTATTTTTAAATATATAATTAATTATTTTTTTAAATAATATTTTTACACATCATATTTTTAAAAATACAATGGGTTGGAACAAGCAGAGAAGCAGAGATAGAGACCTCAAAACAGCGGGAAAACTCTTTTGCCTAGCAATGGAGACTAGCTAGATGTGGAGAGCAAAACTGAAAATGGGCAAAATTCCTCTTGTGATGCAGAGCGAGGAAGAGAAAACTAACTTCACTAGCAAAAATGCCTCATGTGGCCCTTTTGCGTCCTCCCTTGGAGATGCTCTTAAGCAATTTAAGAGCTACATATAAATAACGGTGTGAAAAGGGTCATAGGCCATCACCTATTATTGTACTCATCATCCCAGAGTGTTGGAATGGGTGGGACTGGGTATAGATCTATCTTTGGTCCTTAATTAACTTAAACCATGTTGTCTCCTGTTACAGCCCGTGCCTTACCCTTTTCTGCCTTATTTTTACCTTTGCACCAGCCACTTATTTAATTCCCAGAATGTGTTCCCTTTCTCTGATATAGTTACATAAATAAAAATATATAATCTTTTTATGATACGCTGTTAATGCAGCTAATGTTTACGTGATATTTGCAAATATTTATTTATTTTTAAATATATAATTAATTATTTTTTAAAATAATATTTTTACACATCATATTTTTAAAAATACAATGGGTTGGAACAAGCAGAGATAGAGACCTCAAAACAGCGGGAAAACTCTTTTGCCTAGCAATGGAGACTAGCTAGATGTGGAGAGCAAAAATGAAAGTGGGCAAAATTCCTCTTGTGATGCAGAGCGAGGAAGAGAAAACTAACTTTACTAGCAAAAATGCCTCATGTGGCCCTTTTGCGTCCTCCCTTGGAGATGCTCTTAAGCAATTTAAGAGCTACATATAAATAACGGTGTGAAAAGGGTCATAGGCCATCACCTATTATTGTACTCATCATCCCAGAGTGTTGGAATGGGTGGAACTGGGTATAGATCTATCTTTGGTCCTTAATTAACTTAAACCATGTTGTCTCCTGTTACAGCCCGTGCCTTACCCTTTTCTGCCTTATTTTTACCTTTGCACCAGCCACTTATTTAATTCCCAGAATGTGTTCCCTTTCTCTGATATAGTTATTCTTATATAAATGAAATTTTGCCAAAACGTGGGAGACAACAACTGCCTCTGTGATTTATTCTCAATGTTTTATTAGTTAATTTCTAAAATCATGCAGTTTTTAATGATACATAGTCAAAGACACCCATGTTTTGTAGCTACCCATCTTTTAATTCTTTTTCTTCTTCTTCTTAAGTTCTGAAGTTCTTTTACTTCTGTTTCTTAAGCTCTAAACTTGTTCATTCTAGGGGAATCTGGAGTGGAAAGATTTTGATTTACGAAAGGAGGCAGGCGGGGCCTCTTTGCAACCTGTTCAGAAGGAATTCAAGGCTCAGGTATCAGAAAACTACCTTGAAATCCATCTCTTTTGGGCTGGTAAAGGGACTTGCTGTGTACCTACTCAAGGTACATATGGACCTTCTATTTCAGCAATCAGTGTCACCTCAGGTAATATGATTCAAAAACATTTTATGTGAGTTTAGAAATTTAAGTCTTATATTATTGATGCCAAGGTTTTGACAATTAAGCTTTTGTACAGACTTCATCCCCACTGTTAGTAACAACCTTCCGACCAGTAAGAAGAATAAGACCGGTTTGACTGTAGGGATTGTTGTTCCTATTGGAGTTGTATGCCTTCTGTCTGTACTTGCGTTATATTGCTTCATTCAACAAAGAAAAAGATCACACAAGAGTGAGGCTGAAGGTAAAAATAGAAATAAATTAATAAATAAGCCAGGTTTATTATTGCAGTCCGACTTCTTCCCATGACAGATATGTTTTGTTTGCTACTTGCGGATCTACTCTTTTAGTGGAAATGCTTTCTAAATGGCACTTTAAAATGAATTTGTCCATACCTGTATGTTTGTGTTAAACACAACATCAGACTTGCTAAATGCTGTTTGTGCTTCAAATATTGTTCATACATGATGAAGATTTCTTTAGAAGTCCTACTATTAAACAACCTCCCTTACCTTTCTCCCCACCAAACACCTTAACCCTTTGGTTCTTTGTAAAGTGAGGGAGAAGAAGATAAACTCTTACAAAAGGAACACATTATGGCATTTTTCTTTAGTTTCTTCTCCCCAAACAATTTTTTCATCTTTAATCAAAGACCATTTTGGATTGGAACTACAATTAAGATTAGTATATTTGTGGTTACACATTTACTTGTATAATCTGGTACCTTTCATTGATCAATGCGCCAGAGAATGACCATATCATTATAAGCTTACTAAATACATAAGCCGAGTTATTAATGACTTTTTAAATATTCACTGCCAAGTGTTTTTATTGAACTTGTAGAGCTCCGAGGGATGGATGCTAAGCCTTACACCTTCAGTTATGCTGAACTAAGGGCTGCAACAGAAGATTTCCATCCTGCAAACAAACTCGGGGAGGGAGGCTTTGGACCTGTTTATAAGGTAAGTCACTCTTCTAATCAAGGACAAGCAGTCATCAAACATTTGATATTGCTTCATAAATAATACCACTCATCTGACTTGTAAGTATTCTAAGTTTTTCTATAATTAGCTTCACAGTTAAAAATCATTCTTCCATATCACTTATTTTTTATTTTTTTTCTGATCATTGTGTATAGCAGCAGTACACTTTTACCATCACATTTTGTGCCGTTATTGGAGATGTAGTTTTTGTAGAAAAGAAGATAATGGAAAATCCAACCCTTGCTATTATAGCTATTTTGTGCATAAAGAACAGAAATTTATTGGTCCATATCCTTTTTCCTTTGAAGTTTCACAAATAGAACATGAGAAGAAAAAAAATCCATGGTTGAGACTAGACAGTTTATCTCATGTTTTTAAGTTTTGTAAATAGGGAACGCTCAATGATGGGAGGGTGGTTGCTGTTAAACAACTTTCTGTAGCATCCCGCCAAGGAAAGACTCAATTTGTCACAGAGATCGCTACTATATCTGCTGTGCAGCACCGAAATCTTGTGAAACTGTATGGATGCTGCATTGAGGGAGATAAACGATTGCTTGTTTATGAGTATCTTGAAAATAGGAGTCTTGATCAAGCATTATTTGGTATAAGGATATCACCTTTACAGTATATATATATATATATTAGAATTTCTGAATGTGGAGAATACAAGAAATAATTAACTATTTGGTATTTATGAAGTAGGAAACAGAAGTTTTTATCTAGACTGGCCCACTCGTTTTGATATTTGCTTGGGAGTAGCAAGGGGTCTAGCTTATCTTCATGAAGAATCACGGCTTCGCATTGTACATAGAGATGTGAAGGCCAGCAATATTCTTCTTGACTCTGGTCTCAACCCCAAAATCTCTGATTTTGGTTTGGCCAAACTTTATGACGACAAAAAGACCCACATGAGTACCCGTGTTGCAGGGACGATGTAAGATTTTCAGCCGGCAAGCTCCATATATTCTTTCATTATATTGGTTAATTTATAATTTTTTGATATTGTTCATAGCCTATGATGCATGGGTACTTCGATAAACATGCCGTACCCGTACCGAGTACTTACCGGTGTAGGGTACATCGTATGGTACTTCTACATACGTACTGGATACATGAAATACGTATCCAAATTTTTTCTTTTTAATTTTTGGCATATCCAGACATACCTAGTATCTACCCAAGCCGTACCATACCTTAGTCGAAACAATATTTTCTTCTACTATAGAGATAAAATTCCTTTCACTAGACTTCTTTTCTATTTCAGTTTTATGCTTAGCATGATTTTAAAATTAAGCTATGGTTTGTAAATTATTTAATATAATAACATTTAATTTTAGTTTATACGTTTACTTTTGATATTAAATGTTAATTGTCGATTTGATTTTAACAAATTAAACCATATAATCAATTTTTGCATTACTCCAAATTAAAAATAAATATTTTTTTACAAACTTACAAGTTGTACTCATAGGCCATGTTTGATTCCACAATACTAATAGTGAGGTATTAATAATCCAATTAAATTAGTGTGGTATTCACAATCCTACCCCTACCCCATTACTAATAATCCTACAAATTTATTGGATTAATTATCCATTGGATTGATAATCCTAAAACAAAATGTCAAAACAAACATAGAATAATTAGACCCGCGAATTAATAATCCCAATCCCATACTCTAATCCTTCCAATCAAACATACCAATATAGTACCAGTACCAGTACTCGTATCTGTACCTGTGCTTTATAATTCATAGCTGAAGTAATATCTAAAAAATTGTGACGTTTTCTTGGTTGTTGGTGTAGTGGATATCTTGCACCCGAGTATGCCATGCGTGGGCACCTCACAGAAAAGGTTGATGTGTTTAGCTTTGGTGTTGTAGCTTTGGAGATCGTCAGTGGAAGGCTAAATTCTGACTCAAGCTTGGAACAAGAGAAGATTTATCTTCTTGAATGGGTATGATTCACTTTTTTATGCACTCAATAAACATTAATTCTTTGAAACATTGCCAATTGCATGCATGGATATTCACTTTAGCTGTGGATATAGTATTTGTTGTGATTGGTTGAACAACACCTATGTGTAGTTCACTTTTGAAAAATGAAGGAAACATCACTATACCTAGAAAAATTTAGGGTGTTTTCTGATGTCACATGTTGTCATCTTATAATTGGATATCCATTACATATTTACATGTGAGTGCCATTTGCTCATGGGATTATTGATAGTCACCAAGATGGATATTGGCTTAATTTGCTTGAAAAAATTGCTATTCAAAACAAGAAAATAGCTCTCAGAAGCTTAAACGGCTATAAAGCACGAATGCTTTAAAAAGGGAGATGTATCCATATTGGATATGAATCGGATACCGATACTCGTCGAATACTCGTGGATACGTATCAAATACTTCTTAAAAGTATCGGATACTTTTTAATTAATTTTGCATTAATTTTGGAGTATCGGATACTTAATTTTGAAGTATCGGATACTCGAAGTCACATATAGTTGGTGGAGTGGTAGTGGAGAGATTAACATTATTCTAATAGGAATGCATGTATCAAAGAAAATTTTTATTTTTTATTTTTTGTTGGTAAGGTTACCAATGAGGTGATCCCACTTCAAAAAAAAATTAAAATTAAAACATCAAGTGTAATATATATATTTTATGAATTTTTTTTTTCTTTAGGTTTTATTTTCATGCATATCACATTATTAAAATTATAAAAATAATTTTTTTTACGGATGTATCCCCACCGTTTCCATACCCTATTTTTTTAGATTTTGACATATCATCATATCCATATTATCGTATCCTATAGCTGTATCCATGCTTCATAGTTAAAGGGTGTGTTTTTTTGGACTCTAAATTGTTTGAAAGAAATGTAGGAAATGTAATGAACTACATTCTTGAAACTTAGTTTGTTCACTCTTTGGGACCGAGAAATAAAATTTTCACTTAACTTACTTTTTTACAATAGTAGGGACGAAAATAATATATATAATATTATTTCTGAAGTTTGTTATGTAATTTTTGAGAAAGCCTAAGTGCACATAAGAATTTCACATAATGGAACACAAATGTGAGATAAAAAGATGGGCTCCATATGTGGATCCACTGTTATTATACAAGGCGAGGCATGGGCTTCATCGAAGCGATTCAAGGTTCAACATAAGTAAAATGTAATATTAAATATTTTAAAACATAAATACCAACTAATCCCAATAAAAAAATAATTCAAGGTTGCATATAAACACAATCATCTAACTCATAAATCATAAACATTTGAAAATAGTGACATAATCGAAGTGTCTTAAAAGATAAGCATAGAGAAGGAGGAGGAGAAAGAGTAGAAGATTGAGGAGATGAAGAAGAAGAATAACGACAACTGTTAGTTATGTTTAAGAGTTTAATCCCTTGTAGTAGCGGGTATAGATCTATCTTTGGTCCTTAATTAACTTAAACCATGTTGTCTCCTGTTACAGCCCGTGCCTTACCCTTTTCTGCCTTATTTTTACCTTTGCACCAGCCACTTATTTAATTCCCAGAATGTGTTCCCTTTCTCTGATATAGTTATTCTTATATAAATGAAATTTTGCCAAAACGTGGGAGACAACAACTGCCTCTGTGATTTATTCTCAATGTTTTATTAGTTAATTTCTAAAATCATGCAGTTTTTAATGATACATAGTCAAAGACACCCATGTTTTGTAGCTACCCATCTTTTAATTCTTTTTCTTCTTCTTCTTAAGTTCTGAAGTTCTTTTACTTCTGTTTCTTAAGCTCTAAACTTGTTCATTCTAGGGGAATCTGGAGTGGAAAGATTTTGATTTACGAAAGGAGGCAGGCGGGGCCTCTTTGCAACCTGTTCAGAAGGAATTCAAGGCTCAGGTATCAGAAAACTACCTTGAAATCCATCTCTTTTGGGCTGGTAAAGGGACTTGCTGTGTACCTACTCAAGGTACATATGGACCTTCTATTTCAGCAATCAGTGTCACCTCAGGTAATATGATTCAAAAACATTTTATGTGAGTTTAGAAATTTAAGTCTTATATTATTGATGCCAAGTTTTTAACAATTAAGCTCTTGTACAGACTTCATCCCCACTGTTAGTAACAACCTTCCGACCAGTAAGAAGAATAAGACCGGTTTGACTGTAGGGATTGTTGTTCCTATTGGAGTTGTATGCCTTCTGTCTGTACTTGCGTTATATTGCTTCATTCAACAAAGAAAAAGGTCACACAAGAGTGAGGATGAAGGTAAAAATAGAAATAAATTAATAAATAAGCCAGGTTTATTATTGCAGTCCGACTTCTTCCCATGACAGATATGTTTTGTTTGCTACTTGCGGATCTACTCTTTTAGTGGAAATGCTTTCTAAATGGCACTTTAAAATGAATTTGTCCATACCTGTATGTTTGTGTTAAACACAACATCAGACTTGCTAAATGCTGTTTGTGCTTCAAATTTGGTTCATACATGATGAAGATTTCTTTAGAAGTCCTACTATTAAACAACCTCCCTTACCTTTCTCCCCACCAAACACCTTAACCCTTTGGTTCTTTGTAAAGTGAGGGAGAAGAAGATAAACTCTTACAAAAGGAACACATTATGGCATTTTTCTTTTGTTTCTTCTCCCCAAACAATTTTTTCATCTTTAATCAAAGACCATTTTGGATTGGAACTACAATTAAGATTAGTATATTTGTGGTTACACATTTACTTGTATAATCTGGTACCTTTCATTGATCAATGTGCCAGAGAATGACCATATCATTATAAGCTTACTAAATACATAAGCCGAGTTATTAATGACTTTTTAAATATTCACTGCCAAGTGTTTTTATTGAACTTGTAGAGCTCCGAGGGATGGATGCTAAGCCTTACACCTTCAGTTATGCTGAACTAAGGGCTGCAACAGAAGATTTCCATCCTGCAAACAAACTCGGGGAGGGAGGCTTTGGACCTGTTTATAAGGTAAGTCACTCTTCTAATCAAGGACAAGCAGTCATCAAACATTTGATATTGCTTCATAAATAATACCACTCATCTGACTTGTAAGTATTCTAAGTTTTTCTATAATTAGCTTCACAGTTAAAAATCATTCTTCCATATCACTTATTTTTTATTTTTTTTCTGATCATTGTGTATAGCAGCAGTACACTTTTACCATCACATTTTGTGCCGTTATTGGAGATGTAGTTTTTGTAGAAAAGAAGATAATGGAAAATCCAACCCTTGCTATTATAGCTATTTTGTGCATAAAGAACAGAAATTTATTGGTCCATATCCTTTTTCCTTTGAAGTTTCACAAATAGAACATGAGAAGAAAAAAAATCCATGGTTGAGACTAGACAGTTTATCTCATGTTTTTAAGTTTTGTAAATAGGGAACGCTCAATGATGGGAGGGTGGTTGCTGTTAAACAACTTTCTGTAGCATCCCGCCAAGGAAAGACTCAATTTGTCACAGAGATCGCTACTATATCTGCTGTGCAGCACCGAAATCTTGTGAAACTGTATGGATGCTGCATTGAGGGAGATAAACGATTGCTTGTTTATGAGTATCTTGAAAATAGGAGTCTTGATCAAGCATTATTTGGTATAAGGATATCACCTTTACAGTATATATATATATTAGAATTTCTGAATGTGGAGAATACAAGAAATAATTAACTATTTGGTATTTATGAAGTAGGAAACAGAAGTTTGTATCTAGACTGGCCCACGCGTTTTGATATTTGCTTGGGAGTAGCAAGGGGTCTAGCTTATCTTCATGAAGAATCACGGCTTCGCATTGTACATAGAGATGTGAAGGCCAGCAATATTCTTCTTGACTCTGGTCTCAACCCCAAAATCTCTGATTTTGGTTTGGCCAAACTTTATGACGACAAAAAGACCCACATGAGTACCCGTGTTGCAGGGACGATGTAAGATTTTCAGCCGGCAAGCTCCATATATTCTTTCATTATATTGGTTAATTTATAATTTTTTGATATTGTTCATAGCCTATGAAGCATGGGTACTTCGATAAACATGATGTACCCGTACCGAGTACTTACCAGCGTAGGGTACATCGTATTGTACTTTCTACATACGTACTAGATACATGAAATATGTATCCAAATTTTTTCTTTTTAATTTTTGCATATCCAGACATACCTAGTATCTACCCAAGCTATACCGTACCTTAGTCAAAACAATATTTTCTTCTACTATAGAGATAAAATTCCTTTCACTAGACTTCTTTTCTATTTTAGTTTTATGCTTAGCATGATTTTAAAATTAAGCTATGGTTTGTAAGTTATTTAATATAATAACATTTAATTTTGGTTTATACGTTTACTTTTGATATTAAATGTTAATTGTCGGTTTGATCTTAACAAATTAAACCATATAATCAATTTTTGCATTACTCCAAATTAAAAAGAAATATTTTTTTACAAACGTACCAAGCCGTACCCATATGGTACCAGTACCAGTACTCGTACTCGTATCTGTACCTGTGCTTTATAGTTCATAGCTGAAGTAATATCTAAAAAATTGTGACGTTTTCTTGGTTGTTGGTGTAGTGGATATCTTGCACCCGAGTATGCCATGCGTGGGCACCTCACAGAAAAGGTTGATGTGTTTAGCTTTGGTGTTGTAGCTTTGGAGATCGTCAGTGGAAGGCTAAATTCTGACTCAAGCTTGGAACAAGAGAAGATTTATCTTCTTGAATGGGTATGATTCACTTTTTTTTGCACTCAATAAACATTAATTCTTTGAAACATTGCCAATTGCATGCATGGATATTCACTTTAGCTGTGGATATAGTATTTGTTGTGATTGGTTGAACAACACCTATGTGTAGTTCACTTTTGAAAAAAGAAGGAAACATCACTATACCTAGAAAAATTTAGGGGTGTTTTCTGATGTCACCTGTTTGTCATCTTATAATTGGATATCCATTACATATTTACATGTGAGTGCCATTTGCTCATGGGATTATTGATAGTCACCAAGACAGATATTGGCTTAATTTGCTTGAAAAAATTGCTATTCAAAACAAGAAAACAGCTTCCAGAAGCTTAAACGGCTATAAAGCACGAATACTTTAAAAAGGGAGATGTATCCATATTGGATATGAATCGGATACCGATACTCGTCGAATACTCGCGGATACGTATCAGATACTTTTTAATTAATTTTGCATTAATTTTGGAGTATCGGATATTTAATTTTGAAGTATCGGATACTCGAAGTCACATATAGTTGGTGGAGTGGTAGTGGAGAGATTAGCATTATTCTAATAGGAATGCATGTATCAAAGAAATTTTTTATTTTTTGTTGGTTAGGTTACTAATGAGGTGATCCCACTATAAAAAAATAAATAAAATTAAATCATCAAGTGTAATATATATATATATATATTATGAATTTTTTTTTTTCGTTAGGTTTTATTTTCATGCATATCACATTATTAAAATTATAAAAATAAATTTTTTTACGAACGTATTCCCACCGTTTCCGTACCCTACTTTTTTAGATTTTGACATATTGTCATATCCGTATCACCGTATCCTATATCTGTATCCATGCTTCATAGTTAAACGGTGTGTTTTTTTGGACTCTAAATTGTTTGAAAGAAATGTAGGAAATGTAATGAACTACATTCTTGAAACTTAGTTTGTTCACTCTTTGGGACCGAGAAATAAAATTTTCACTTAACTTACTTTTTTACAATAGTAGGGACGAAAATAATATATATAATATTATTTCTGAAGTTTGTTATGTAATTTTTGAGAAAGCCTAAGTGCACATAAGAATTTCACATAATGGAACACAAATGTGAGATAAAAAGATGGGCTCCATATGTGGATCCACTGTTATTATACAAGGCGAGGCATGGGCTTCATCGAAGCGATTCAAGGTTCAACATAAGTAAAATGTAATATTAAATATTTTAAAACATAAATACCAACTAATCCCAATAAAAAAATAATTCAAGGTTGCATATAAACACAATCATCTAACTCATAAATCATAAACATTTGAAAATAGTGACATAATCGAAGTGTCTTAAAAGATAAGCATAGAGAAGGAGGAGGAGAAAGAGTAGAAGATTGAGGAGATGAAGAAGAAGAATAACGACAACTGTTAGTTATGTTTAAGAGTTTAATCCCTTGTAGTAGCATGTAAAAAAAAATGAGATAGTGAATTCAAGGGTAATATTTGTAATAAACAAACATTTTAAAAAAAGCGCACAAGTCGCACGCCTTGACCCTAAGCCTAAATTGCACACTTCATGCACTTTTATGGCACCTATTTTACATCGCCTAGTCTGAGATGTTCCAAAGCACACTGACTGCGCCTTGATGAGCCTTGGGCCTAGGCGCACACCTTTAATAACACTGTGTGGACCCCACTTATGTGGTTGCCACACCATTGGCTCACATTTGTGCTCCATTTTGTGAAAATCTTGTCTTCCTAGCATCGTCGGTCATTTTTCTTAATTTTTCTTGCTAACCAAATAATTTTGGGAAGTGCGTCAAGGAAAACAAATTTGTTGGTTCAATGCTTTGAAACAAAAGCTACTCATTCAAATTCTTTGAAAGAGAACACTATGTCACTTACCATTTTCATATTTCTCCAAATCCAAATTTGAACACAGTGTAGCTCTGCCATTATGATTTGCATCAAATACGTTGTGTCTGATCCAAATAGCCAGTAGCATGGGCTGCCCACTCCAGTTATGTGATTCGGAATTCATGTATGATGCCTCCCATCTTGAATTCTCATGACATATTTTAAATTTTCTCCTTTTAGGCCTGGCATTTACACGAAATAAACCATGAAGTTAAGCTAGTGGATGCTAATTTATCCGAATTTCATGAGGAAGAAGTAAAACGAGTGATAGGAGTAGCTCTCTTGTGCACTCAGACATCCCCAATGCTACGCCCATCCATGTCGCGTGTAGTGGGAATGCTTTCAGGAGACTTTGAAGTTAGTGCTATTACTACACGGCCTGGATATTTGACCGACTGGAATTTTAATGACACAACCAGCTTTATGAGTAATGATACTCCAACTGTGAAAAAAGAGCATAGCCACTACAGCTCATCAACTAGGACAAGCATGGTGGCTGATCCAGGCCGGTCACCAATAACTGATGCTAAACCTATGCTTCAAGAGATCATTGGAGAAGGTAGGTGAACCTTGTTTTTTTTTTTTTGAGAAACAGAGATCAATTCTCCTGGAATACATGACATGAGATCAAATTTTGTGTGAATTTATTAGTTTCCTTTTGTCGCTGCAAATGTTAGTTAACTTTCAAGCATATCCTATTGTAATTAAGTTTGCTATTCAAAGCCTGGAATGGCTACATGGTCTTGGGTAAAACAACTCAATCTCAAATGCTAATTATTGAGGAGAGGGTGCCTTCATGCTTATATACTGCACATTACTTTTGTACCAGGCAATGTGAGACTTCACTTCACAGCCTTGCTCACACACAGCATGCTCACTCAGCTACACCTACTGTGTGCAGGTTAGGGACACACACCCTATCCATTTTTGGGTATTTTGTTTCTGATATCATATTATACAATTTTGAGTAGAACCCAATCTCATAAGTTAGTCATTGAGATGATGGTGCTCTCATGATTATATACTGAGATTTTGCTTATTTTTCCATCCGAACGATGTGAGATTTCGCTTTAGAGGAAGTATGTCAAGGTGAAGAGTCATGATGTCGTCTGGAGAGTATGGCCCCAAGAAGATTGGCCATTGCCAATCATGGTATCACTTTTCCAAGGAAATTGTGTTGCTGAGCTTAAACGGTACTCTAATGAGAAAAGGGAAAAGCTTTCCCCTACAAAAGCATTTATGTTATATTGGAAATGCATCCCCACAAGCCCATCTAATCCTTGTACCCTGTTATGAAGATAGAATTGGATCCTGTCGCTTTACTTCAATCATTTGCATCTTTGTCATACTCCAGTGATTAAGTTGTATAAATAGATACCAACAAGGCATGGAATCAGAAAAAGTGACTGAAAGTAATATTATTTAATCAATATTAAAGTTGAGAAGGTTGGAGAGTCAATGTCATTTATTCTATGTTGTTTTCACCATGCAAATGTGGATGTTTAGCTAATCATAGCTAATTCCAAAAGTTCTTTCAAAATATTGAGCTACATAGCACATGTAGGTCCTCTTGATGATACGTTCTTCTCCATTTGCTTTTGAAGTCTGCTGCTAACTATCCTCAGCAATAGCTATCCTTTCTACACATTACATGGTAAGCTTCAAAATTATTATTATTTTTTTTTTCATTATTGTCACTGAACAACCCTTAGGTTCTCATCTCATTTTAGTAAGCACATGGTTTCTCTCCAGTTAACTAGAATCCAGATGTGAGAAGAGTTGGACCCTTTTTTGCAATATTTACAAGTACAGTTCACAAAGGTTTTTTTTTTTTTTTTTTTTAAATATTCTATGAAGTTGCCCACTATCATCATATATGTATGGAAACACTTCAGGCTTTTCTGTCAAAGTTGGCACTGACGATTATTTCCCATTTTGGGTAAAGATTGGAAGTGAAGCTCTTATGCTGTCCAGGAAACCAAATCAGAGCGCCAGAGGGCCTCATCTCTTGTGAGCTTATGTTTGTTCACCAACAATCACAGTAGACTGGCCACCAGTCATTCGGATAGTAGGGCAAATCCGGCCAGGCTTAGGACACATTTGGAAATAAGAAGGTGCTGGTAGAGCCAATAGTAATCATTTTTCTATTAAAAAAAATCCAAATTTGTTTTGATACATTAATCAAATGAACAAATTCCAAATCTACACGACTTCAATAATTCCCAAATTTTTCAAGCCTCCAGAATATTATCAATAGCTTCTATATTTTTACAAAAAAGGTCTATTTGTACAGAACTTAAATACAAAAGTTATATTATAAGAGAGAGTTCAAGAGATGACCGTTACATGAGTGGATCTTACGGGTGAAAATTTGTGACACGACACGATAATACGACTCGAATTATACACGAAATTAACGGATTATGGTTGACCATTTCTTGACATGAACATATATATGACATAACCCGACAAGATAAATATTAAACAAGTCAGATTAGTGTTAAATCTGTATAACACAAAATTGACACAAATAACTCGTATAATGAATAATTAGTTATATATTTAATATTATTTTATCATGACATTTTTTAATCTCTTACGTGGTTACATCCAATTTATTACGAAATACGTAAAATACAATTTTAAGTTTAATATAGGTTTTGTTTTTGCTTTTAATTGAACTCAATGCATCTTTTTTTATATCTATTATTTAAGTTAATCTAGTAAAAAATATAATAATAAAATATTACATTTATAAATTAAGAAAATCAAATTAAGTTGAAATCAAATATTTTTACAAATATTTTCATTTAATAGAGATTAGTTTCATTAAATTTAACTTGTGAATAATTTTTTAAATTTTTTTCATACATTTGATATTTTTAGTTAATAGTGAAATTTTTTGACATGACACGTTAACACAAAACGAATCGGACACGAATAAAAAATGACACGACACGATAACACAAAATAATAAATGGGTTGAGTTAATATTGAGATAATTCTGACACGAACCCGAGATGACACAAACATGACCCGACCTAACCCGACACCCACCCTTGGATCCGCCTTTCCTTTTGTCCGGGTTGTATGAAAATGAAAATTAATCACCTTATTTGGTTTAATTTTTGAAACTATTTTTTAATTTAAAAATCAGACAAAATATGTTTTATTTGTGTGCATAGATCACACCTATTTTCCATATATTTACAGTTTTCATGATAATTGTGGACATGAATTGTCAGCTAAGCGTTCTCAATTCAGAAATTAATTGCAGGATTGAAGGAAAGCAATAATGGGAAATGAGTTACGGACCCACTGACTCATCAAAGTTCAGGATCAAGTTTCTTGAAAGCTTGCTTCAACACCACAAATGCATTCCTTGGTTAACTCTGAATCCCTCTCTCATCATAATTCATCCCTAATTGCTCTGAGATCTTTTGTCGCCAAATTTTTAATCTTTTTATTTTAGTGTATTCTGAATTGCTCGACCACATATTTTAGATTTTCGTATTCCGAAATTATCACATGTAAAGGAGAAAATATTTTGAAGACGTCTTCATATTTTTGGAGAGCAATTTCTTTGCAATTGGGTTTGTGACTGGTTAGACTAGTCCACTCTAATTTTTAGTCTTCATATTTTTAGAGAGCAATTTCTCTCCAATTGGGTTTGTGATTGGTTAGACTAGTCTACTCTAATTTTAAGGCTCGCAATAGCACTCGCTAAGACAATCCGAACAATTTATACTATCCATTTTTTTAAAAGACAAATCAAACCAAATCAAGTTTTAAATCCTATCAAATGGAGTCAGCTATATGAATCCTTCGTCTCCACGCAGCTCTATCAAATATGATAAAATTATACGATTACAACTATCTGATCAAATTTTTATGGGGATAATCAATACACATGGAGATAAAAAGGAACGATTTGAATCATCTTAACGGATCCTGTTATGGACCCAAATTGCTAGACTGGAACAGTCCAATCACAAGACTGAACTGGAGAGAAACCATCTTCTCCTTCAATTATTTTCTTTCAACTCAGATGTTCTTTTTCACTGCACAAATAATTTACAAATTTGATAAGCAATGGTTTGATTTCACAGGAATTGGTCTTCTGATAGTTCCCTATGCCCTCTCAAGTGGTGGTTGGTTAGGCTTCCTGTTATTTTTCGTCATCACCCCCATGACCTTCTACACTGGACTGCTACTGAAGACATGTCTTGATGCTGATCCATCCATTAGATCTTACCTCAACATTGCAGAACAAGCAATTGGTAAAACAGGCCGAATCATAGTCACAATCATCATGAACTCGGAGTTGTACCTCGTTGGAATGGGCCTCTTGATACTTGAAGCTGACAACTTACATAAACTCTTCCCAAAATTCATGATCAAGATTGGAACACTAACTGTTGAGGGAACACAGTCGTTTGTTTTTAATCACTGCACTTGTGATTCTTCCCTCAATGCTGTTAACTGACCTCGGCATACTCTCCTATGTCTCAGCCACGGGGGTGTTCTCTTGCCTCATCATCTTCATCTCCGCTGTCTGTGTTGGTGCTTTCAATGGTAAGGAACCTTGGTTAATGTGCGTGCCCCTCGTACTGCTGTCAGCTTGTACATTGTTTGTTTTGCAGGACATCCAGTTGTCCCTTCTGTGTACACTTCAATGCAAGGCGTGTATCAGTTTAGTAAAGTAAACAAGTGCACCTGTTTAAAGTGTATCACTTCAATATTAGAAATGTCTTTTTCTTCAACCAAAAAAAAAAAAAATGAACATAAAAAAAATGGAAAAAATGTGGCATTTTTAGCAGTAGCAAAGTGGATGGGTTCTCTTAAAAAAATGATTTATAAAATGCTTATTGAGTACTATTTTCTAGCCTGCAATGTGCAGGGTCCATTGTCTCTGCATTTTCTTTGAAGTCTTGTTCTCCAAATCCTAGCACATTTTTCTTTTCCTGAGCATAACCAGCTTGCAGGTCTTGTTTTCAAGCTTTACTGTCACAACAATAACCCACGTGTCAATGGCAATCGTGGGGTATCTCATGTATGGGGACGATGTCAAATCACAAATTACATTGAATCTACCAACAGGGAAAGGTAGCACAGATTAGCGATTTACACCACTTTGTTTATTCCAATTATTGAGTACTATTTTCTGGCCTGCAATGTGAAGGGTCCATTGTCTCTGCATTTTCTTTGAAGTCTTGTTCTCCAAATCCTATCACATTTTTCTTTTCCTGAGCATAACCAGCTTGCAGGTCTTGTTTTCAAGCTTTACTGTCACAACAATAACCCACGTGTCAATGGCAATCGTGGGGTATCTCATGTATGGGGACGATGTCAAATCACAAATTACATTGAATCTACCAACAGGGAAAGGTAGCACAGATTAGCGATTTACACCACTTTGTTTATTCCAATTATTAGATAGGCACTGATGCGAACCCCGGTGACAAATGGCATAGAAAGCAGATTATCAGAAAATTACAAGAACTGAACACCTGTTAGGTTGCTGATTAGAACGGTTACTATTGTTAAGCACAGTAGTTCTGGGTTGTGTGTTTCCATATTTTGAGTCCTTGATGGCCATTGTCGGATCCATCTTTGTTGTTCTAGCATTGATTCGTGCTTCCATGCCTATTCTATTTGACAATTTCTAGTTCCTATCAGAATTGGAGTTACAACGAAGTGGGCATCATCGGAATAATTTGTAACTGTTGCTGGAATTTTTGAGACTTACTCATCTATTGCTAAACTTGTAGATGATGTTTGATTTTGTTGTATAATCTATAGCTACCTTTTAGCATTTCTGGTGGCAATTCTTCAAAGTTAGTTTCAATATCTTGTTTTTCTCCTCCTTAAAGGTATGGGATGCCCCGGAGGGTATCCGAGCACCCCAATAGTTTAGGACTCTCGGGTCTGGTCTCACGAGTGCAATGTGAAATAGAAAAAAAAAAGAGTGCAAATCCGGCAAATGCATAGAAAATCTACTAATCAATAGAAATGCCAAAAATTGACTACATTACCAGATTCAGAGTCGCCATCTAATCTTTTGGGCAGATTAGGAAACCTTTTGGGGAGATTAGGAAACCCATGACTGATGCAAAAAACCATTGTTCATTGTAACCAAAGTGTCTCGGTTAAGAAACTTAGGCATGAGGGGGGAAGGTTATGAATTGAGCACTCCGCTCATCCGATCAAAGATCAGTCTCTACTAATTCACAATATGAGATTCATAACTAATATATGTTCATGTACCGATTATTAATACTAAAATTACTATGTGAAACAAACAAGTATAGACCAAATCACTTTTGTTAGAACACTTTGATCTCATGAATTTAGAAAAAGGTTTGAAATGCGCAACTCTAAAGAAAACAAGAGTCCACATACATAAAGATCAAAATCATCCCAAATCAAGCAAAAAAGCCTCCATCCGCTGGCATTCAAACAAATATATCAAGTAAGCAAGTAGCCTCATGGTAAGAGTGCTATAAATAAAACATACATAATCAAGATGCAAAGAAGAAAGAAGCTCACCTAGTACTCCTCCGCGCCAAGCAAACAAGTGTTAGAAAAGCATGCATGATCCTAGATACAAAGGAGACTAATGCGATACTCACAAAATGCAACTAAAGACTTGGCTACTAAACATGACATGTGAACCATCTCCAAACATGGGATGGCACACATAATCACGTAAGAGATACAAAATAATAGATAATAAAAATAAGCCAAGTCTTATACATGAAAAATTGATGCAAGACATTAAAAATGATGAATATAGAAAACATAATGCCAAGATATGGAAAGGTATAAATAAAAGGGGATAGAGAGAGAGAGATAAACATGAATATATCTAAACTGAAAGAAAGCAAGATGACAAGAGTAGAAGCTAACTACACATGCAAGGCTACCAAGATGAAAAATATGAAAAGCTACCAAGCAAAAGAAGCCAAGAAATAAGATAATGGAAAGGAAAACAAGCCAAAGTGCTTCTCTAACATAAGAATGTAAGAGAGAACCAATAATTCTCTTGTAATGCCACTAGAAGCTAGACATGATGAGTTCATCCTCAATCATTATGAATAATGAGAGAATTGAACCCATCAAAGTCATAGAAGCTTCACAGTGAACATGGTAGAGAATCTCATTGTCAATCACCATGAGATGAGAGAAAGAGTAACAAATACTGAAAGAATTACAATCTACCACTTCTTATCATGAGGATGATCAAGGAAGAAGTGGATTAAGTAATCAAACGGTGAGAAATCAAAATAAGCAAAATCCACCATTCTGATCATGGAAAAGATAAGATGATGGTCATCCATGATCATCAAAGGATGACAAATACAAGGTCATTTTCATGAAAAGGGATGAAGAGTAGAGTTTTTTTCTCCTTCGAATTTGCTATTCGAAAAAACCCATCTGTTCTTTAATTAACAATGTGCAATATACAATAACAATTAGAAATTCAAATTAGTTCAACCATGAATCATCTGTGCATACCTATCAATCATTGTGGTCCAAGAAAAACAACATCCCTTTCAGGACTTTCATTGAACACTTGTCTTGCATAGATCAAACACCCACCATTGGCATAAAAATGAATCAACCCATTTTGCACAACCAAATCAAAAGTAAAACCCACCTTCCAAATTCGACAATGGATCATAACAAATCCCCCAAACAAAGAAAGAGCAAAAAGGAATTAGAGAGAGAGAGAGAGAGATGACCTGTTTTGCAATGGACGCTCCTAGGTCGGCAATGGCAGATTCAACAGTTAGGGTTTGCGAATGGAGAGAGAGAAAGAGAGAGTGGTGGTGGTCGTCGATCGTCCACCACCGACGGTGGTGGATGGTGGTCATCGGCGTGAAAATGGAGAGAGCCAGAAGCGAGGTCGAGAGAGAGGTAGGAAGGCGAAGTCGACAAGCGTGTTTTGACTTTCGATTTTACTAGCACGTGAAGGGCACACACAACAAGGCGCAATTGGTTCTAACACAAAACGCAAACCCATTTTTCTTATGGAAAAAGCTTGGACGCCCAATCTGGGAACCCCAGGTTCTAACTGTATGATTGATTTATGTGTGTTTTTATTTTTTTTTTTAAATATTTTTCCCTCTCTTTCATATAAGATGATGTGAGGGTTGTGAGAGCGAAGTTTTTATGAGATTTCAATAATTGCTCTTTCCTTATTCAGTCAATTCGGGTTATCTATTTTCAGTAGATGTTGTATTATTTGAGTCATATTAACCCTTTATTTTTTTTCATATATATTTTTTTTAATAAAAAGTCAAAAAGTATTAAATGAATAAACCTCAAACAACCCAGTCTTAAATGACATTAATTTTTTAACAATAATAACTAAGGGGGGTTTGGAATGTTCTAAATAAGTGTACTTTTTCACTTTTTATGAAATATGAGTTGGGTATGGGTTGGGTTTGAAGTGATGTGGTAGAGAGGTGATGTGACTTACTTTTTATGAAATATAGGTTGGGTTTGAAGTGATGTGGTAGAGAGGTGATGTGACTTAAATAAGATGATGTGGCTTAAATAAAATTGTAATTTTTTGACTTTTTAACTTTTTTAGTATATGCCAAACAAGGCCTAAATATACCCTTATTAAAAAAAATGTGCGCACACATTATTTTTAAAAAAATTAACTTTTCCTAATACAAATAACCAAATACCCTTTAATAACTCTTATACCAATAATCAAGCATCTAATTGTTCTTTATTATCATTCTCTTTCTTATATTCCTTATCAAGATTTTCGCTCTTACCCAACACTCTTAAAGTGGACGAGACTTCAAGTCACCACTCTTTCTATGGGCCATTACCTATTTTCACTACAGATCTAGTAATCGTGACTAAATTGAGAGATCGAAATAATTCTTCTTAACTCTCTCTCTCTCTTTCTCTCTCTCTAGATGATGGTAAAACTATCATTCTTAAATCAATGATAGTGCAAAGCATACCTATTACTACCAAAATCTACCATCACCAAATTACAACACACCGTTGAACCCCATCATAACTATAACACAACTCTCTCACATAATGGCTATTGAAAAAGGAAAGGGAAAAATAGAGAGGTGTGACCATACAATATAAAATAGGACAAGAGAATAGAGGAAAAATAAAAATAAAATAAAAGGAGAGAGGTGAACAGGAGTACCAAAAAGCTGATGGTGGCAAAATACGACTTATAGAACTAGAAGTAGATTGTGGGTGGTGATGTTGGTAGTCATGGCGGAGATAGTTCGTTGGAGAGGAAACAGAGGCCCCGTTTGTTTTTAGAGTTAAAATGGAAGGGATTGATAGTGAAGAAATTAATAGTGAGGGGATTGTTAGTGAGAAGATTGATAGTGAGAGGATTAAGTAAAATTGTATTTGTTTTTATGATAGTTGTTAGTGTAGAGATTGTTAAATTATTTTTATGTAAAATAAATATAAAATAATAAAACAAATAAAAAAATACAAAAACATTAAACATTAATGTTTAAAAAAAAATGCCCAACATGTAAAAAATTTTGAAAAAATAAAAATAAAATAAAAAATTTCCAAAAAAATAAAAAAAATAAAATAATGATTTTTACTTAACAAAAAATATAAAAAATTAAATATTAATGTTCAAAAAAAAATGCTCGACATGTAAAAAATAAAATAAAAAATAAATAAAAATAAAAAATTTCTAGTCCGCTGAACAATTTTTCTAATACTAAGTCCTGGAGACTCATCCGAATCCCTTTGGGGAAGCCCATCCTAATGCAGAGCTCACTATCAATCCCCTCCCCATCTCTCAAAACAAACACAATATTGAACAATTTTTTTAATACTAAATCCTGGAGACTCATCCGAATCCCCTTGGGTAAACCCATCCTAATGCAGAACTTACTATCAATCCCCTTCCCATCTCTCAAAACAAATACAATATTAATAGATCCCACCTCACTATTAATCTTAATTCCCCCTTTAACTCTCTAAACAAACAGGCCAGAGTACATAAAGAGAAGAGAGATGTCGGTGGCTGGTATGGGGTGACGGGCTGTTTGGAAAGGGGGCTAGCAGATATGCTTGTGGACTGACAATTTTACCCAAGAATAAAATTGTAGAGATAGCAATCATACCAGTAATACTAATGCCTCAGCAAAACGAGTGTATGCCAGTAATGCGTGATGGTAAGTCTGTATTGATTGATGCTGTTTGGCCAATGCTTATCAATTGACCGAGAAAATGCCTATGAAAAAGGATAAATGCATGCATGTTTTCTTTCTCTCCATGCTATTTGGTTCAATGTTACTTGGGCTTTCAGTCAACATCTGTGAAGGTTATACCTGAAATTTGTGCGTTGAAACAAAGCTAATAGTGAGAGCACACAAACAATACTATCGTTGTTACAATTTCTGTCTTGAAGAGAGAAAATTCATCCACTGGCTGGAAAAAAAATTGAAAAGATCAAATCTGCCCAGAGTAATAGGAAATCAACCAAATAATTTAAATGCTTATGCCAAGTGGTATCCCCGGTATCAGTTTTAAGTTCAGCACCACAGCACTAATGCAAGAAAAATTAGGATCAACCCCATAAACAAACTTCAAAAAAAAAAAATTCAAAAAGAAAAAAAATAAAAATAAATAAATACAAGTAAATTATACAAGAAGGAACACCAATTTATGTCATTTTAAAACAAAAATTTCTTAGGCCAAGTTTTTGGCATGCAAAAAAGAACAAAAACATAGCCCAAGCATTGTCATTACAGTCGCCGCAGCTCATACAAAGCCTTAGTCCTCATCCATCCCCGCAGCAGGCTGCTCCCTCCTTGGTCCACCAGCTGGTTTTGCCATTATAATCTGCAGAATATATACAAGTCAAGACATGATTTAATAAAAGAAATGACACTGGGTGGACCGCATGGGTTTGATATTACACTTCCAAAGGATGAAAACTAAATATTGTAAAAACAATAAGCTCCAATAGATGGACTAAAAATCACTGGATAAATCATTTCTGTATTTGGTGACAGCTCCAAGTAGCCTTTTGATTTTGGCCTGTCCAACCAAATTCCCCCCTCCCCACCAGAACAAAGAAAATAAAAAGTTTTGGAAACAGCAGTTCTGCTTTTTAACACTAGCATCAAATCTACATTTCAACCAATTTCCTCTCAACACTCTAGTGGATCACACAGGTGAATCTGTTATGGCACTGGCATCTCACCCTAATGGAGATTTTACCAGTGCCCAAATCATTTTTAGCAGTTGATTTAAGATTTTACCACATTTCAGATCATTTTCAGTGTGACGCACCTAATTAAATTTTGGGAAAAATACAAGTCAGTGTAAAAAACAAGAAATAATTACAAACATATGGAGGTGCAACTTTTTCTGTGAAACAAAACCACAGCAAAAGGTGCACCTCGATCTTCTGGTAAATATTTCCCCATTTCCCAGTGTCTTGTAATTTCCGCTTAAATTTTTGTCATCTCCTGTCATGCATATTCGTTAACTACATGTTTTATAGTTCATTATTCATTTCTCTTTAATTCTCTTACTTGGTCTCCCCTCCCAAAAGCCAAAATATAACAGCCGTTTTTGCCAAAATGGACCCCTTGATTTATGTATTATTGGACAAATTTTACAAGTGGCTACAACATTCTCAAGTTTAAATTCCCAGTATTTTTCTCTATATTTTGCGTACTCCAATCCTATAGTCTTTGATGATAGTTCATTGAACTTATTGTCCATCACAAAATAAAAATATTTCTTCCCTCTAGGTATTGGTACTTCCACCTATTGTTCAGTTGAGAATTTATTCTCTTCACCAACTCAGTATTATATTGATGACCTATTACTACATAGTGATTTGAACAAGTTCGTTCAAGGAGCCTCTGAATTCTTTAGTTCTTTGATTTGAACAAGTTTGATTTGTTCCTTTTGATTTGTTCCTTTTAATGGCCCAAATAAATCCCATCATACAGCTTGATTTATAAACTTTACCCCTCAAAATGAAATCATTAAGAAGGATGAATTGAACAGCCAGAGAAGAGGGATTCAATAGTCAATTCAAAGGTGGTATCTCAGAAGAAAGTAAACCATGAAACCAGTAGCTAATGGCTTACCTGATCTACCCGTAGCACAGTGCAAGCAGCATCTGCAGCATATTTGAGAGAAAAAAACCTGTAAACAGCAAAATAGTTTGAATCACATAAAATGAGTCGAAGTTTTAGCATGGCATGCATACCAATCCCTCACCTAAGTAACAGTGAACCCGCAATTCCTGCCATGTATTGTCAGAACAACTCAGGCAGGGCATATTAGTGTTAAAGGCCAGCACAAGTCTGACCTTGCCTCAGCTTCAAAATACTTTGGACAAATACTATAGGTGTACACATAATATGATCAAAAAAGATAGGGTTGGATCACAATAACCAAGTTAATATCTGTAAATTACTTTAGTATGAAAATTTAAAAACAAAAAGCTGACAAACACTCAGTTAAAAGTCCCCCCAAGTTCATAGCCAATAGACTATTGATACATATACTATATACAAGCAAACAATGATTTTTATACCATATATACCATGCTATATTTTGACAACAGCAAGCTTTTGACCATACCATTGAAGAAGCTCTTAGAGGGAAAGAATAAATGGCTGTAAGATAGTGAGAAGTAGCTTACTTGGTGACATGCAGGTCCCAAATATTCTTGGGAGAGACATCCTTGCATACACCTTCCTCCAAGTCAATGCCTACCTTGGTGTTTCCAGATGCGTGTTCAGCATACAAAGAAGATATTATTTCCATTGCATTCAGGCCAGCATTCTCAGCCAGGGTTTTAGGTACCATCTCAAAGCTCTCAGCAAATTTTGCAATAGCATATTGATCCAATCTGCAAACAAAGAGTGTCAAATCCTATCACCGAGCTAGTGGAAACACTGCACACAGTGAATCTTTATGCAAAAGAAGAAAAACTACATACCCTAAGTTCACAATCATTAGTTTAGTAGAAGAAATATCCAATGCACAGGTAATAATAAAACGTACGATTTTGAAATATAGCCATCAGCAGAGATAAGCACTAATCAACAAATAAGAAAGGTAACATCTATTTTGCAGAGACATTTTAGACATGGTTATCAA